GGTTTACCTCGAGCGCTCGATTCACGGCAGCACAGAGCGCCATATAACCCGTATGATTTTCGCCTCGGAAGGAGACGGCATACTTCACGTCCTCAGTCCAGAAGGAGAAGTTGAGAGAGTCAACCAAAAATATCCTACAAAAGGAAATCTAGAGAGAAAGCAGAGCGCCTCTTACCAACGCACAGTGGAGGCGTCCATAGTCTTGCGGTGCATCGGAATGTCTGTCCACGAGGAGCCAAAAGTGCCCGTCTTGAGATCATCGTAGAACTGGGCGGGGGTAAGGAGGGGAGTTAGTGTTAAGTGACACCTGCCTCACCTTCTGTGCTAAAGGCTGAATCGCAGCACTGTTGACCTTTACGTGGTCCGCGTGCTCCGTGATAAATTTGGCGGATTCACGCGGTGACAAATGTTTGGAGACGGTGTCGGGGCACATGGCGAAATGGCTGTAAAACAAGGAGTGAATGGGTCAGAGTGATGGAGACGGACAAACCAAAATTGAAATCAACTTTTAGCAGCAGGAGGAAGGAAGAGAGACGACAGCGTCGCAGTTTTGACGCAGGCGACAGTGCATGCGTGCAAACAGAAATTGGCCAAAACCGAGCGTCTCGTCTAATGCTTGTAGTTCACTAAGAGTGATATAAGGTCACCTAAAACGGGGCATGATACTATCAAAATCTTCGGAGTCTGCATAGTTTCCGTGCGAATGACCGAGTTGCGCCCATAAAGTTCTGAAGTATTCAAGTGTGCCCTACCAGGGTTGAGTGAGGCAGATAAGATGGCGAGGGGGATCAAAAAGTTGGCACTCACCTAGCGTCGGTATAGAACGAGAATGTCATTAAGGTTTGGCAATATGTTGCGAAGCAGGGCTTTAGAAATTGCGATTACATCTAATAAGTTTTAGAGCACAACTAATTCTAAATAAGGCTGGATGCCGAGACCGCAGCAAGGCGGCTAACAGCGGAAGCAAATAGATGAGCGTACGTACACGAAAGGGCGCATGGGATAGGACTTAAATCTCCAATCTCGGAGAGCAGCTGCTTTCGACTTTGACCATGTGTTCAGATTTTCAGGCCGTCGGAGCCCACGCTATTCTGAGGATATCTGACTGCATCGTGTCAGAGTGGTTAGAGACCATCAGGTTTGTGCATTGCATTACAAAAGTATACCAGTTGTGTATAAAGACGGTACAGAGATAGTTTGTGGGCATAAGTCGGAGAAATTCAGTGTTATTAACACCAACACCATCTTCCACGAGAAGAAACATTAGCGACAGTTAATT